ATGGAGTGGATTGCTATCAAAACCTTAGATAAGATTCAAGAAGGGAAGAACAAGAAGACATAAATTAACAACAGCCGAACAAGAACAGAGAAAGTCAAGGCACAAGCTGAATACAAGCAAGTGAAGAGGAGCATTAGAGCTGACAAGCAGAAATACGTGGAAGACCTAGCAACCACAGTGAAAAAATCTTCAAGAGAAAGAAATATGAAACAACTATGTGACACGACATAGAAACTGGTAGGGAAATATAGTAAACCACAGAGATCGGTCAATGGCAAAGAAAGCAAGACAATCACCGAGATTCAAGAACAAAGGAACATATGGGCAGAACACTTTCAAGAACTCTTGAATAGATCAACTCCATTGAGACCACCGGATATCGGAGCAGCACATACACCTTCTTATAGATGGCAACCCACCAACGAACGAAGAATCAGGATGGTCATTAGACAAATCAGGATTGGGAAAGCTGCAGGACCTGAAAATATATCAGCTGAAGCACTCAAGTCAGACATAAAAGAAATCGCGAACATACTCCACGATCTATTTAGGAAGATTTGGTATGAGCAACAACTGCCGACCGACTGGAAAGGATGATATCATCAAGATACCAAAGAAAGGAGATCTAAACACATGTGAGAACTACAGAGACATCAAACTACTATCGGTACCAGGAAAAGTTTTCAACAGAATGATGCTGAAGCGAATGAGAGATTCAGTAGACGGCCAGCTTCGAGATCAACAAGTCGGATTCTGTATGGATCAGTCGTACACAGACCAAATCGCGACACTATGGATCAGTTGAGTGGGACGCGTCACTATACATCAACTTCCTTGATTATGAGAGGGTGTCTAACATTATGAATAGGAGAACATTATAGAAACTTCTTTGAAATTATGGAGTACCTGAGCAAATCATCAGCATCATCCGGAATTCATACGACGGAGCACACTGCAATGTGATGCATGGAGGACAGATGATAGACACATTCCAAGCGAGGACCGGAGTCGGACAAGGCTGCTTATTCTTCCCCTTTTTCTGTTTCCTGTTGGTTAATCGGATTATGAAGACCTCGATATCTGAGAGGAAGCACGGAATACAGTGGACAGCTTGCATCCAGCTAGACAATTTGGACTTCAAAGTCAACCTGACCCTTCTATCCCATACACACCAACAATTGCAGGTGGATATAACTAGTGTAGCAACGGTCTCTGCAGCAGTAGGTTTCAACGTACAAAAAGAAAAAAGCAAGATCATCAAATACAACACACAGAACACCAACACAATCACACATTATGGAGAAGCTCTGGTAAATCTGGTATCTGTCACATACTTGTAAGCATCGTTGATGGACGAGGAGGATCCGACGTAGACATAAAAGTGAGGGTCGGCAAAGCAACGGCAGCATTCCTACAGCTGAACAACATATGGAACTCAAAACATCTGTCAACCAATATCATGGTCACAATGTTCAATGCAAACGTCAACACAGTTCTATCCTACGGAACTGAAACTTAGAGAACTACCATAACCATCATAAAAAAGGTACAAGTATTTATAAGCAAGTCTACTCAAGTAACCTAACACCCATTGGCCGGATATTATCAGCAACACCCTACTATGAGAGAGAAAATACCAACTTTCTGACAATGAAGAAATCACGAAAAGACTCTGGAGGTGAGTTGGACATACGGCGCGGATATCATCAAACTGCATCACAACGCAAGCGCTAAAGGAAAAGAAGGTGAAAGAACACACTACCCCGAGAAATAGGACCAAACATGAAAAGGATGAATAGTAACTGGAAAGGATTTTCCAGGACAGACTTGGATGGAGAATGCTGATGGGCGGACTATCCTCCTTCATGAGGAGTAACAGGCGCAAAAAAGTAGTTTTTTGTCTAAATTTTATGGAAAAGTGTTTTGTTACGTTGTATAAAATAACTCATTTTTGTTAATCATCTATTCTGTCTTTCATTGTTGAGAATGCTGGTTAAACTTATGGTCCGATAAACATCATATTTGGCCACTTTCTTTATGTCATTTGAAATTATCATTATTCGTACAAATGTTACCATACAAGTTGTACGATATTTACTCAGTTACAGGAATTCACATAGTATGAACTTCGATAAGTTAAGTTTCTTAACAACAGTATTCGTCATGATAAGATAGAAATTTTACAAATGATTTATAGTTTTATCCACCAAATTTTGTGACTAAATTGATGATCAAGTTTCAACTAAATATCGAACAAATAATACTGTTATCAAGGCAAGTATTCTCATTCCAACTTAAATCAGTTGGCTTATTACCATTTTAATTATTTGCGATTACCTCATTTGAGATTTTTTAAAACAAGTAAATGTGATTAAAATAATTTTAAAACTTAAAACCGTTTAGTAACAAATAGATTTTTGATCCCTGAGCTATTTTTTTTCAAAATAAGGTTTATTTAGAACATTTAAATGAAATTCAACATGTTCTTCAGTTGTTCATAAAACAATAAATAATGTATTGATTTGCGTCTTTGTAAAAATTAGATTGATTGTTAACAAGTGATAGTTTTCTAAAGCTCCTAAAATACATTATTTTTTGAATATGTTCTCTAATCAGTTGATTGAATTATCGCCGCTTAAAGTACATGTTATTATAAGTTTAAACTTATGTTGAAATAACAATATGACAAGTGTTATTAAAAAGATATATATATATATTAGGACATGTATTTATTTTATAGAACATACATCAGATCGACTTATGTTTAACTATATAATAAAAGTTGAACATTGAACTACAACCACTGTTACGTGACATGTGGCTATTTACTATAGAAACTCATTATTAAAAAATTACTACCTCAAGTTAACTGATGTAGGATGAGTATAATCTATGCCTGTTTGTGCAGAAGATATGCACAGAATTTTGAAATACTCTTTGACAAATTCTAAATTATAATTAAGTGTTGTTGTTCATTGACAGATTTTAAGTAGCCCAATTGTATCGAGTATTCCAATAGACTGACTATCAGTCAGTTAATTACTGTTCATTAAGAATACTGAAACATTTTTTCGTTGATTACAAAAATAATGTATGAATGTTTTGAGTACATGAAACGTCTTTCAAATAAGCTATCAAATTAAGCAATAAAAGAATATTTTTCTAAACTTTACTAACATTAATGTCTATTGCTGGGTGTGTATGAGTAACATGACAGTTTTGTGGCTTCTTTTATATCAAAGTTAAAAAAAACACAACTAAAAATTGATTCGACGATGAGTTACTGATTAAAAACTGAGGTAGTAGATGGTGGAGATACACTGTTCAAGTGTTAATGAAACCAATCAAATACGAAATTTCAAACTATTTGAATTCATCGAAAGTTGTCTTAATACCATGAGGTTATCTACAGCTTATGCATCTGTCAGAAAATATCGAAATATGTAATTTTATGCCAAAGTCGATCCTTCTCGAAGTGCTCCAAATGACAGAAGTAATAGTTATTCGGATTTAAAAAACGGAACAATGTGTACAAAAGAAATATGTTCAACTTCTTATCCTACATACATTTAATTCCCTTAATTATCTTACATTAGCCAACCTCAGTTCCAATAAATCAGTAGTTTTCTTAATTATAAAATGACTTTCTTTGACTAGTGTACGTACAACCTTTCTGAGTCAAATATTAACCATTCTATTGTATTGTACAAACAATCTTAAATTCAAATGTCATAATTTTAAACAATATATTTACCATGTGTAGAATGGTAAATCATGTATGAAGTGTCCTCACCAAGTGTTGTCTGAGAAAATTTTCATGTATAAATTGCTGATACCTTAAAGTACAATAAGATAACTAAATGGTACTCCCCGTTTAACAAACTAGTTTTTTATTTAGTGTCATGGTACATCATAAATTGTCTACAGACAGCTACTTGAATTAATGTCTGTAGAGACACTAATGTGCGGAACAGTCAACCCATTTATCGTAGGCTAACGAGATGCTACTGTTCATATCTGGATATTGAATAAACGTACAAATTAATTGTGCGTAAAAACGACAAATCGTGTCAACTATTTACGGCTTTAAAAACCTGTTTATGATTATATCAATAAACTTAAAAACTAATTATATATTGTTCTCGATTGAATATATGCAAAGTGTGGTCACGTTGAAACAACAAATTGCAACATCTAATTAATGAATGATAACAATACTATATGCTTTTTGTTTGTTCAACTTAGTATCCAATTTAGAAATTATTTCAAATTTGTCAGATACTGTCAATTAGAAAAGTATATAGTTAAATAAATAAATTTAAGAAATTATAACCTTCAGTTACTCTCTAAGTATCAATTAAGTAATCATCTGTTTAAACAATCTTAATTGTACTTCTAGACTTTCCTCAGACTGCCCACCCGCTACATGATATCAGACAAAGTCCACTGAAATGTCGAGATAATGCGAATATTGAACACATTCTAAGTTGATCAAGGATTAGACAATAAGCAATCGTTTGTTAGTTAACGAATGGTTGGTGCAAATATTTCAATTATATAGGAGATTAATTAGGGGCCAAATAGTTCATGATGATTATTACCAACCATCCAATGTAGAAGTCAAAATGAATTTAGATCACGCCTTCTTCCATTTCTATACTCAATTGTTTTTAATATTAAACTACAGTTTTAAATTTTTCGAGTAAGATTCCCAGTTAAAACAAATAGTTATAGGGAATCTCACAATAGTTTTCATCACGAAATTGCTTTCTCTGAGTTGGACGGTTCATTCGTGACACTTTGATTTGAAAAATAAAAACTGTATGTTTAGGACTGACAAGTCCGTAAAATTAATAAAAAACAACTATTCATTATTTCTGGATTTCCAACGACTCTCTAGATTATTGATTTCGGTTGACTATTGAAAAATTAACCTCATGTAATATTACAAATACGTATTCAATTAATATCAATGTAGTTATGCTTGACTAATTACTTACTTCAATAATCCTAGAATTTCGGTAAAAGCTGCAAATGTATTCATTATTATTCGAATAAATTTATCGATATTGTTTCATGTGATTATTTATAAGGTCGTGCATGAACTTCCACAGTTTCACTCAGTTACATTTTTAGTATTTAAATAAATATTTTGGTCAGTTTACAGCACACATCATTACAATAATATCATATATGAACAAATGAACGTAGAAATACACTCGTCCTATAAAATATTTTCAATTATAACATATGTATTATTAGTAAGCCAGGTCATTTAAATTGGAAAGTCAAGCCTACTTTGCGTCATTAATAAATGGTGAATAAGCTTACACAATATAACCGGTTATAGATTAAACAATTACTAGTCCATATATCAATAGGATTACTTATAAAACCAAATTATTTTTGTGATATATGTAATAGAATATGTCAGACTACATAATTAGAATATAAACTTATAAGTTTTATAATTATATATTTTTAATATATCGGTTTTGCTAATTCGTGTAGCCATGTCAGATTAAAGTTTGTGACATGCCATATGCCGGTTGGTTGGGCTACAGTAAATGTAGCCAGTAATATTAGTCTAAGAAGATTGTAGAGATTTTTGAATTATGTAGTTTACATCACAGACTGACTTTAGTTAGATGGCCAATAAAAATCATGATGTACTGGACAGCTGTCTCATCCAAGTATAGGACAACGTAAAATCGCACACAGAACTTTCAGGTCACGAGGCTAGCGCTTAACCTTTAGACCGGTGAGTCAACGTCCAAAAGTTTAAACTCTAAGTTCTGAATGTAAGCAAGTAAAAAATCTGTAAAAACCCCTTTTATTATTAATAATAATTATTTCCTCGCTAGCTGTTAATTTTGAGAGAGCTGATGAAAAATTGGGACGATTCGAGTCTAATCATGTTTTGTATGAGACACTAACCCATAAACAGTATTGAAAAATTGTTGCGTCAAATCTCAAACTGGTTGAAAATTAACATGTAAGTCACTGGATAATTGCTTAGTAATCCAAAACTTGTGTATTTACCACTGGAACTTAAGGTTCTGGATTCGATCTCTGGTGAACTTGAGATTGTGCACTGCTGTGAGGCACCATAATAAGTACTTCCCAGTTTTCAGCGGTTGCCCAACTAAAGTCAGTTTGTAATGTACACTATGACAAATAGTACATCTAACAGTGAAGAGACGTAAAATCTCGACTGCCTGAGATTTGTTTAAAAAAACACAATATAAGGGGAAAATTTAGGTAATTTTGTGCAGAAATCTGTAGCAGTGGTGCAGATTCATTCATTCTTTATCTGCTTCTGAATTTTGAATATTATTATTGTTATTTTGTATTCTTCATTTCAAACTTATGTGTTAACTTTTGGTTCTTGTTATGGTTGATACATTGTTTTGATCTTTTTTTTACTTTTGTGTGTTATTACTTACTATATGACAGTGATCATAGTTAAGTGTACCAGACTGTGACGATGAATATTTTTGTTAAGTCCTACACTCTTAATGACTGAAAATGAATGGATAAACGGTTTTAGAATAACTTCTAGGAAATCCATATTTATGATTTTATCACAGTTGTTGAGACTATTATTTTAAACATATCGAAAGAAATCTTAAACTTATTGAATGAAACTAATTAACTCATTTGATGTCAAATAAGTGATGAGAATTCCCATAATAGGACGAAACAGCCTTCCAGGTTTTCGATGATGTTCTAACCTTTATCCATTCATTATATCAATCTAAAATAACTAGTGCATTAATTCTATTGTGTTCAAGAAATGTTTTTAAAAATTCTCCTAGTACGTTTGAAATGTTCAGTAGCGAGTACTATTGATTATTTCATCGAAAAATTAACCTAGGTTTGTCATGCTTCGTTGATGAGTTACCTACTTCGTGAAATATACCTTCGGACTAAATTAAGAAAATAAGATTATCGTAAAAACATGTTTGTTTATTAACAAAAATGGTATATATATATATATATATATATATATATATATATATATATATATATATATATAAAATTTATTTTAAAACGTGAGATTTTTTAACTACTTATTTTTATCCAAATTATATTCAGTTTCTATAAATGAAGAATTATTTCGACTGTAAATTGGTTTTGGATATTTTATGTTCAAGATTTAATGGGATATTCGTTAAGTCTTCTAGTTCTGATGAATGACAAGCATCATGAAATATATTATTTTTATATTGGGGATTTAAAATGCTCAACTGGTGATTATGACTGATACTTTGATTAGGTTGAATGAACATTTTATATAATCTGGCAGTTTGAATAAGATGACTTGCACTTGCACGTAGAGATAAAGCTAACAGACTGGTAGTAATATTTGGTGTTGAGAAGACTGACAATGGTGTAGTTGTAGACGATATTGATACTATACCAGTTGTAATATTTGAAACTGCTGGCACTAAATATTTTGTTGCACTTGACAAATCAGTTGCACACTAAAAGTAAATAGACATTTTTGTTTAAAAAAAATATTCATAAAATATATTTTAGAGTGAAACTGTAACTTAATTGATAATGTATTTATTAGTTAGAAATGTAGGTTTGAATAACTGAAGTATAAATTTTTAAAGTTTTATTCATGAGTAGATGTTAGTGGGAGAACCGATAAAAAATGGTGAGTTAAGTTTGCTGAACAATATCATGAGATCGATATCATTAATAGCCTGTGTGATGAAAGTGAAACATCACACATGAATAGAAGACGCAAATGTAAAACAATGCATTTTAAGTGTTTGGTTGATACACATTGTTAAAATTGAGTTTGTATTGTTTGTTTGAATCTTCCCAGTGATGTTTAGGACTGAAATTGATCAGTCTCTTATTGGCATATGTGCATCCTATGTGAATTGCTTTGATATTGCCTTAAGTCGCAAGCATTATAAATAAAGATGAATGGTGGCTAGCAGCGGAATCCAGGACGCAGGTACATCCAACTGGTGAGTCCCAAGCAGGACGAAACGTGTCCTGGATTTCACTGTTAGCCACTATCCATCTTTGCTTATAATACATACTGTTGTTTACAGTGGTTTTTTCTCTTCCCTATAATATATGCAAAGCATATAAAATCAAAATGAAACTGGTTGAATAAATGAGTGCAGATGTGAAGAATTCCTCATAACCCGTAAAGAAATAAAATTCTCTTATAAATCATGAAACTAAAATTTCAGACATCTAAATTTGATATTTTTTTTGAAAAAAATCTAAATTAAGCGTGTTACTTTTCTTAAAATTTGCACATTTTTCACTTTGATTCGAAACTATTTGTAGCAGTAATTTCTGTTACATATTTTTATGTATTAAGAAAGTTCATGTTTACTTTATTTTTGAGATTGAAGAACTAAGCAACATTTAATGATGGAGCTTTCTTTTGAAAGTAGATGACTTAACGAAAAATATACAAACAAAAATTAAACAATGTGATTAGTTCTAAACTATTGAATAAAATTTTAATCATATTAAACACTTAGTATTAGAAAAATATCAATAACAAATCAACCATTATAAACACTTACAGTTGAATTGATTGGATTCGATTCATTATGTATTGAATGATAGATTAATGGTGGTTGAGTAAAATAGATTGGATAAATAAAAGGAATATTTGAGATCGAATTATTTGGTAAATAGATATATTCAGTGTTTATCACATTTATATTATTATCATTTTTATTATCTACAGAAGTGTTGGATGTTGCGTTTAAGTGATTAGATTCCATTTTGGATATCATACTATCTATATTCCCTGAAACTGGATACAGTATGTTTGATATGCCTGAGTTCGATGTCGAGTTAGATGATATTGGCTGAAAAATTAAAAAAATCCCTCAAAGATATTTAAATTTATGTTTAACATAATTAAGTTAACCTGAATTGATCAGCTTCTTACTAGTAAAGAGATCAAAAAGAAAACAAAGAACTTTTTGGTTGAAAGTAGTTGCCCAATCAGTCATTCCAATATTATTAAGATTAGTAACATAGTACAAAAATAAGCGTAAATAACTGTTTTTCAGTTTTCCATTCTCAGTTGTGACTAAGCATTGCAAAATAAGGCATATAAGTACTAGGTTTCCAACATGGTTTGGGATGGATTTTATTATGAACTTTGATTTATACATGCAAACAATATAAAAGAATTATAGTTACACTAATTATTATTATTATTATTATTATTATTATTATTATTGGTGGCTTTATTCAATATTATATTTTTGGTACAATATCGAATTCTCAGCACAAAGTATTTCAACAAGTTTCCCTTTCTTATTTCTTGATCAGTTCCTTAAGATAAATATTGAGTGGTCGCCAGTTAGATGTTAGCGGTTCAGGAATTGACATCTGATAAATGTGTATCCTTTTCGATGCATATTGCCAGTAACCACGATGTCTCTGATTGAGCTCTTTTGTAACTTGTACAGCAAAATGTCGTAAACTCTTCACAAACGCACCTGAATAGGTTATGAGACTAATAGGCATAATGATGTGTTAAAACAAACAAGAAAACAGATAACTTGTTGAACTATCCAAATGGCAGAAACAGGTAGCCCAGATACTCAAGCAGCAGTAATAAACGCGACCAATACGAACAAGTAAAGAAATGATTTAATGAAGATTATAGTTGATAGGGCATCTCCAGAGTAAGTATCATAAGCCATTGAAATGAGTAGAGAGACCTAATACTGTTTTAAGCTTTACAAAATTTGTTCTGACTGGGGCGTTTGATGTTTAATAGTTTAACTCTTGGTTACTCTTCATGTAGAGAGTCATATACATAATACTGAAAAGAAGTCTTTTTCCTGGGTTCCGTTATCATCGGAGCCTTTAAACAGAGATTGCCTACAATATTAGAGGAACTGATAGTATGAAATATTTAGTTTTCCTTGTTTGTAACTGATAATATGTTTATTGTCAAATTATACCTATTTTTAATATTAGTACAAAAGCACCGATTCAAGTCATCTAAAAGAAAAATAAATTACTTTCCCCGTGAAGGCATCTGGTGCTGTAACTAGCCCAACTTTTGGTAGATAAATTATCTTGAAATTTAAACAGCTGAACATCATCATTATTTTTGAATGTATTTATTGATCTCTCCTTATTTTTCGCTTCACACTTATATTCTTCACTCATTTGTTGAATGAAGTTAATTAATTCAGAGTTAACAGGACTTTCATTGAATTGGTCATTGAAATTTGATGAAAGTGATGTATTTGATTGTTGTTGAAAAACTACTTTATCGCTTGGAATTAAATGATTAGGCAATAGAAGAGATGCTTAAGAAGAAATAACAGTTGACTATAATGGTACCATGTATATAGAACTTATTGATATACTGGTATTTACTTTTAGAGATAACGTGGATTGACCATATGTTGATATTTTCTTATTCACCTTGTTCAAATTACGTCTATACAGTTTCAGCTGAGCACGTATTTTTGATCTTATTTGACGTGAATCAAATTGAGGAAATGTATTTTTACAAGACTCTTCTATTTGAGTTAAATGTTTTTGTGATTGTTCGGTAATTGAAAGATCAGGGTTGAGTAACTCGCGAGTTAATCTTCGGACAAAACGCTATCAATAGAATAAAACAATTAGAATCAATTTACAAGAGAACCTAAAATTAAATTTGAACTATACTCATATGATGGCAATGTAGGATTTACGTCTATGCTGGTATTAGCACACTTATCTATACTAGATAGAAAAACAGACTTATGAACTTGCCATGATATAACTACCTAAACCATAGTAGCAGTAATTGTTATCTTTTTTGTTCCATGCTCTCTAATTCCGTTTTATCTTCTCTAATTGTAGATGGTTATCATCATGGAGCAAAAAATGACTTTAAATGCACCGTTCATATATCAACTTAAAAAGAGTTAAGAGTTCACGACTGATGCCTTTCATTGCTGTAACACGTGTGAAAAATCTATTACCTAAACAAATTTCAACTAGATAATTTAAAACAACCTTATATCACATGTTTTCTAAAATTAATATTTCTATCTATATCAAGTTGGTCATACCCGTAAACTGACATGAGTTCTGAAATTATTAATTCCAGAAATTATTATTATTATCATTATTACAAGGTCTTACATTGAAGTCATGTTATTATCTGTACTGTATCATCCTGTCGTAAATGTCAGTAATGTTCCTCTCAAGTACCATTACAGAACATATTCACGGTGTTAATAGAATAAAATATTTATTATAAAAAAAAGGTTACATGGCAGAGCCATGCCATATCAATTAAATGTTCCCACATTGACATTTTCTGACGTTCTCCGAGTGTTCAGTTACTAACGTAAGTCTTCTCATTTATTGTATATTCAAACATGAAGAGTATAGATAAACAATGGTGAAAAGACCAAGAGTAAGGAATGATGACTAACAACAAGAATATTAAAAATGCTATGACTTGAAGGAAGATTATTTTATTCATTTCGAACTGGGTACATTCATTTTTTAATTTAAATATATGCACAGGACACTAAGTACAAATTTTAAAAGTGTTAATTGCCTTTGTATACAAACGAGGAGGAATACACTTTAGTTGGACAGGGACATTTGTGGCTAGGTGATTATGGTGATTTGAAATAGTCAACAGGGGAGCCTGAACCTATATTTTTCGTGCCATTCGGCACTCGTCAGCTAGGCATACCTGTAATTTTGAGGTAACTGATGCTACCTGGTGTATTCGATCCTGTGTCATCCAGCTTCGCAATCACAGAAATTAGCACAGCTATTCGGGTTGCCATTTTCCATTTGTAGAACTGATATGTTTAAACTTAATTAGTCTCTGAGTAATGACTAGTTTCATTTGAAGTTATGTGTGCGTAGAAATTCTCAAAACTTCAGGAAGTAAAACGGTTCTGTAATCGATTTTGTTAAACAGTTACTTGAGACACGAATAATAGTTATGAGTTTTAGTTAATTATGTATGTCACATTATCTAAACAAGGCTATTACTCTAGACATTAATTAAGGTATTCAGTAAAGAAAAACAGTTGTGGAACGATTTTGTTCTGATAAGTCGACAATCAAACTATGGATAGACATGGGATGAATAATATAAAACCTATGTGTTGCTGGTATGCATGCAACGTATACTAGTCTTAGGTGAGACGCTCGCGCTCCAAGACCCAGAGAGAACTCACGGTTTTCTTACGAAGATAAATACATATGGCGGATGTGCATCAAAATGACAGTCTTCCTGTCAGAAAAGCCGATCGGCTTCGCCAATGAGGCGTGACTAGCCTCGTGGCTAAAAATCTCTATACGATATTTGAGTTTGCGAACGTTAATTGAAACAGTACAAGAATTTCAACTGAACAAACTAGAACAAATTTACCCCAAATTCTAGTTCTAAATATGTTGGTCTCCGTTTCACATTATGCTCATATTTATTTTCACAGCTTTTCAAAACTTGAGACGAACTGCTGCATCCAGTCTAGGATGTAAAAGAAAAGTTCAACCTGAGGCAGTTTGTAAAACGTATATCCAAATAATAATAAAACAACGTAACTTACTCTTAAATCAAGTGGTTCTTCAGATTGATCCATTTCTATCCAGTAAGAAACCCAAAAAGAAAAATACACAGTTATATACAAAGAGCATTCACTTAAATATTAATTCTATATTTCCATTACATTATTTCTGTAATATTTAAAATCAAATCATTTATTAGATTAAATTACCTGAGACAAAAGAATCTGAGAAACCCATTTGATTGAAGTGTTCGTATAATTCATGTTTTTAAAACTTTCCACTTAGATGCGTTGAACAAAACGACAAAATACACGTGAATGTTATAAAATGAGGATTTCCTAATCTTTCTGAATGTTAACCTGATTCGATTGTTAAAGTGTAAACTACATACAATGAGACATGATTTCAATACATATTATTTTATAATATGATATATTACTAGTCTAATATGCTGTAGCAATCAATATTGTCATAAATCTTTAAAATAACAACGATTCCTAATCATTAAAAATCATTTTTAAAAAAATTCCTATAAGGTCATCGTTAAAGTCAATCAATAAATTATTGTAATTATTACTCAAAATTACAGTATGAAACTAATATCAAGAAGAATATTGCTTAGTATCTAATAATTTAATTAACGAGAATACATGAATGTAGAATGACTTAAAATGACAAAATAAATGAATATTTATCTATATAGTGAATAATCCTGGAATTATTTCACTTAATTTAATAGTTGAGATCATAAAAGTAATTGAAGACAGACCATTACGGAAAATCTGGAAGCATTGGAAGGTAGTTTTCTCCCAATATGGGACTCTTCAATAGTATGCATCCATGAACCCGCCTCGCGAGATTCAAACCGAGGACCTATGGGTCACGCGCGCGAATGCTTAACTTCTAGACAACTGAGTCAGTATTCAACGGTGCTAATGTCTAACTTCAACTAATCCACCAAATTGAGTGACGTATCTACTATTTTCTTCAGTGAATTACTGTTTCGCAACAGTCCTTGGTTCTAACCTAGCGAGGCGAGATCATGGATGCGCACTGCTGAGGAGTCCTACAATAGGACAAAACGGCCGTCCAGTGCTTTTAGGTTTCTGATGGTGGTCTAGCTTCAGTTAACTCATGATCTCAACTGTTAAAATTACTATAATATCTACAAAATCCATTCTGATATTTCAATTATGTTTTGGATATTACTTTCTTATCATAGATGAAAACTGATACTTAATTGAATCGACTTCATTCATAGACTGAACAAGACATAATATAGAGTCTTGCTTAGGAAGTCTTTAGGTTGATAACAAATACATTAGTTTCTACCTAGAAATGTATGACTTTATGAGGTAGTTATACAGCATGTAACATTCATGACGATTAACGTTTTGATAGCGTTTCTTTTTTCAGAGATATGATCTAAAACCCAAGGTATGAAAGTGTTGTCTCGCTATGAAGTGTTAGCACATTTATGTGATAAATTCCTAACAGACCATAAGCTTTTCCAAGATTGCAAACGCTACTTGACCATGGTTATGAATTAATGAAAAGCGCAGGTCCAGGATTTCTTACTGATTTAATCTGATCAGCTATCACTTAATGTCGTACATAACTCCAAAAAAAGAAGACTTGAGATCTTTAAAACACTGCGGTACGTACAATAAACGTTTTATTTAAACCATACGGACGATCTGACCACAATTTTAAAAAATATAACACTGAAGACTACCTAGTAAAATTTCCATGAAGAAAACCCTGTCGGTATTTAATTACATAAAATTTGGTAGTTAAGAGCAAATAAGGGATATCTGTAAGTTTCCCAGCAGTACTAAATTAATTGAGTCGGTAACTATTGAACAACGTAGTCAAAACCTCAATGAAAAATAAATTAGATTGAGAGTTTAAATATTATATCCTAATTTTGTGACAGTTTATTAGTTTCAAATCATTTGGTCCTTAAATAATACATTCCACTATTATGGTTATTTAAAGATAACTTAATTTTTGTAGATTGATTTATCCTTCGTGTACAGCACATTGAAGTGCAACCAGTTGAGAAATGTAAATTAACCATAAATAAACGTTTTAGAAACAATACGTACATCACTTGATTAACTTTACATGTAAATACATAGTTCATTCTGTATATCTACGGTAAAAGCAGTATTTACATTAAAGTTAATATATTTTTCTAGATCACTCCAATCATAATTGTATGTAACATCAAAATATAATTTCACCTACCACATAACAAATAGTATATAAAAATAACCTAAAACGTTTAAAATTATGGGTCATTTTCTTTGAGTTTATATCATATACTCTAATGGTTAAAAAAAAATTATTTTCAAACTTGAACATCCCAAAAAACTCACCAAGTTCGTATAACAATGTTTTCCATAGTATTATAACATATGCTCCTAAATATATCATAATTTAAATTATAAGTCCGAATGACAAGACGGAGTCTGAAGCAAGTGAGTAATCTAATCAATCTGCCCGTTGCCCTAGAGTAAAGTAAACCCTCGTATATGATTGGTTATTTAAAGTAAAGATTTATGTGGGTGATGACTTGGTTTGGATTTGTTTTAAACTTTCATCCTAATCATACCGGGATGATATGTTATACACAGGTGTGAGTATTTCATTTAATAACAGCGAAAATTTAAATTAGGTATCAATAATTAATTGATTTATAATTTGAATTACAAAAAAAAGTAACTACAATGACATCCGTTAGCATCATTTAAACTTTTCTTCAACTCAGGAGCTATACCTAAATACTTATGTACATTGAAGTGGATAATTATTTTCATATTCATTACCAAGTGGGATATTTTACATTGCAAATTTCTGTGGTAAGAAGCTTATTGACAGTATAGTGAAGAAATCCACAGAGATTTTCCTCTAAAATAAAAGTGTACCATCTATTTTTTGACAAATAAGCATTGGGATTAGTAGTAGTTAAAATAAAATACGCTATTGCTTATCAGTTATTACAAAGTCATCGACGAAGTCTATAATCATATCGTAAGGCAAAGAATCACTAACACACTTATCAAAGTATTTCATAGCTACAGAAGTATATATAAATTTTAATTTATCATTGTAATACTTTTAAGTTAACCTTATTAAATAAAGCATTTTATGGGTTCATCGTTCACTGAAAGTGAATATATTTTTTTACACATAACAGTCTATTTCGGTTGTGTAAATGACCAATAGTTTACTTCACATTATGAATAAAAGTGTCATAAGTATCTTTGAATCTTTGCTCGTGTATTTTGAGACCACAAAGTAAGAGATGTTGGGGTTAGGAATAGGGCACTTGGTAAAGATGGAAAATCGATTGATGGGGCAGTAAATTTTCATCAGCTGTGGTTGAGATATGTGTTGCATACGCCCAACCACTGCCTACCTTGAGGAGTGATATTTGGTGTAGGCGAAGACTGGAAGAAAGCTGGGAGCGATAAAACCATGATGTCATCAATCTATAAAGTCATTAACAATCGAACTTACCCCATGTTGATAGATATACACTACCTGATTGGGGTCCGCGTGACTATCGTAACTAATGGTTGGAGACTCTTGGTGACATGGCTCAGAATTGATCACAATGGCGTAGGTGTGTACACTCTCTGTCTTACCTTAAACTATGAGATTAAAGTCGTTTTACATCTTTAGATATATGTGCCTGGCCCTACGTTGTAGCTGACTGACTGACTGATGCATAGAATCTAATAGCCTACGAAGATATGATGATTAGTCCGTTTTCAGTATTGCAGATTTATGAGGAATTTTCAATTTGGACACAGTAAATAATGATTATTACTTTTTCGGGATCTGAATGAAACGTCATGAATTTACTATCATAAAATATTGAATTCATAAATACAATTGAGAGATATATAATACAGATAATATTTCTGATTTAGTATTGTTCAATAAGATCATTCAAATCCTGTTGTAAAGTTAAATTTTATTATGATCTTAAATAATAGCTTCTATAAACATTCACTAACCCATGTGGTAGTGAAATGTAAATGATCTTCCATATATTGTTGTATACTGGACAGATATCAATCAATTAAATATAAGAGTGGTCTGAATCTACACTCGTTTTCAACTAATTCGAATTAGCCTTCTTTCAAAGTTTTACGATGGTTGTTGGAATGTGTATGGATCCCAAACCCAAATGATTGAAAATTTATTCCAGGGTGTTTAACTTAGCTGTAAATGAACTTATTTGAATAAAAAGGAGTCATTTTAATACTTACTTACTTTGATCTACACAGTGCACGTTGGTAGTATATTGTATTATATGTTGCGTATTTTGATAGATGGTAGTTACAATCCTCCATTGACCTTAAAGTCATATGATCTTTGCAGTATTTTAGCCCATTTCAGTTTGTTTTATCTTCGAAGTATTCGCTTTCCGCCAATATCTGAAAAACATGTTTCATACGACTAACTGGGAATTATTTACAGATGACTCACTGGAAATCACTTCTGATGTTATCACTTGTTACCTTAAATTCTGTTTTGATATTTGTTCTCCCACTGAAACTATTTTTGTAAGTTTTGATCGACTTACATCTTCACAACTAAAGCGACTACGGAGGGTGAAAGAAAGAATGTACAAGGAGAAAAACTCTAGTGAAGTTCGCAAGCTAAATGGTCTGATAAACCTCGAGATTAGTCGTCTCAACACTATGTTTACTCAAAAACTCTTGTCATGTAAAAACTCTCCAAGTATGTGGAAACTCTTTACAGGACTTACTGGTGTTAGACAGATTAGGAGCGACAACCAGCTGGATGTTTGTGACTTAAATAAATCTTTTTTACGTCAGTCATCTGATGTGATGCTCCCTTTATTCACGGGTTTAAAAAATATCTGTGTTCCTAGTTTCACAGAAACTGATGTCCGAAAATGTCTCCAGTCACTAAATTCATCCAGATGTTTGGGACCTGATGGTATCCCAAACCTCCTTTTTAAAAAGTGTGCTGACGTCCTATGCTATCCATTCACTACTATCTTTAACAAATCCTTCTCTTCTAATCTCATACCGAAAATGTGGAGAAAGATGAAGATAATCGCTATACCCAAGAAAGCATCTTGTGATAAGAATGTGAAATTCAGACCCTTCCTCAAAACAATCGAAAAATTATTGACACTTTCACTTCAGCCTGCAATAAAAGAGCATATTGACCAGTATCAGTTTGCTTACAGATGCAAAAGAAGCACCTTAGATGCTGTTGCTGTTCTGCATCGTAATATAATGTTCAACCTAGAAAAAGGTAAGAAGTATGTTCGATGCGCTTTCCTGGACTATACTTCTGCTTTTGATTCTATATCAAGACAACGTTTACTTAACAAGTTAATCAGCGTCAA